ATATATATATATATATATATATATATATATATATATATATATATATATATATATATATATATATATATATATATATATATATATATATATATTTATATATATATATATATATATATATATATATATATATACAAATATATATATATATATAAATATAAATATATATATATACAAATATATATATATATACAAATATATATATATATATACACACAAATATATATATATATATATATATATACATACACACACGCACACACACACAAATATTCCTCTAACTACGTTTAAGTTATAACTAACAATTATAATGGTAATAATTTTAAGAATTTATAAGTTATTTTATGTTTTAAAATACTTAAAGAATAATTAACTCATTATACAAAATATGTTAGAGATAATATACAAAATATGTTAAAATTTTTCTATTTTTCCAGATCAATCTTGATGAATATTTCCAAATGGCAAACTTATGAATGATGCTTCGCTACAAAAAAATTTCCAATTGTATGCTTCACCACAACTTAAGAATGAGCATTTCAATATGTTGAGAGTGTGCAAGAGGCATCAACAAAGCTAAACAGTTTCCTCTATAAATCAGTCATCAGTTACAACTCATGTCAAATCATAGATCATAACACTGTTCTTCATGCCTTGGAGGACCTCCCAATACAAGGATACAGCAAAATATGCAAGCAAAGAACCCAACAAGGGAGATGAATCCATAGCAGGTAGAGGTAAGTGGCGCTGTTCCATGACCACAAGAGCTGCGCCAGTTCCCAAAAGGCGCCGACACCAGCCTTTCCAAAATCCTCACACACGCCTTTCGCTATTAGTAATGCAACTGGTGGAAACCCAACCACAGCAATTGTTAAGTTACAGATCACCAGTACTGCCTTCCGACAAACACCTGCCTGCATCTGCTTCCTTAGAGGTTGAACTAACAAACACATTGGAACGATCAGCATGGCTCCAATCTGTGCAGTTGAGAAATTGATGACGGACATTAAGCTCAGTCCTGTTGAAGCAGCAGCTATCATCACAGATTTTAGAAGCTCCCATCCACAATGGGTAGAACAAGCACCAAAAATGAGGTAGAAGATCAGCAGGATACAAATGGATAGTGCAGCCCAAACTAACAAGAGCGTTATAGGGGTCGTAAGGGGGAATTGGGAGAGCACATAAGGTAACAAGGACACGATGATTGCCCACAAGTGGATCATGAATACCACTTTGGCAGCCTGAAGCCATTTCCATGATCCAGAGCGGAGTTCCGTGTCACTGGAACCAATACATCCAGGTTCCTGGTTAACTTTTTCTGTTGAAACTCCCAAATTATCATTACCAGAAAAGAGAGCAGCAGAAACTATGGGAAGAGGAGCTAGTAGCAGTGCAAATGGTATCATGTAAACTCCGACAGATACAAACTTATGAGGAGCTGTTAAGAAGTAGAGGAAAAACGACTGATGGAACTTCTCCAGAAGGTTATTTACTGAGCGTATGACTCCTTCAATTAACCTGCATTAACAGTGCCATGCATTTTCAAAGATGTTAGTTAACTGGTTACAAAATTCAACCTGATCTTTAGTCCTTGAGCTGCAATATAAGATGTCATTCTTCTATAATACTCGAGAAAAAATAAAAAAAGAGATGGCATCAAATACAATAACCATTTCAACAAATTGAACAACTACATTGGTCAACTATGAAGTTAACATATCTAACCATCATGAATAAAGAAAGCAACGTCGACAGCAAAAGCCTTAGTTGCAACATATGTGTCACCAATGGGATAAAAGGTTGAATGAAACATGTATAAATGATTTAAAGAGATGCCTTTGTATATGGAAACTAACCTGCCACCTCTAAGAAGAAATGCAGATCGATTATTCTCATTATTGAGAGAAAATCTTGGGGAGAGCTCAAGAGTAATTGCATCTACTTGGTAGTCACGGAAAGCACCATGGGACCCAGTTGGGACACCAAGGGCCTGCAGCAATGAAAAACAACCTACTAAGCTAGATAAGGAAACAAAAAAATCAGAGAGCAAGAGATCTATGATTTATACCTGATAATAAATTGAGCTTGCAAGTGTGGCAGTGCCTTCAACATACTCAGCAGATGTAATATCAAATTTCCATTTGGGGTTCAAGTGTTTAGTCAATTTGCCAAACAGTTGCAGCATCTCACCGACAAACTTGAGCCATGCAGCTTTAAGTAAAGAATGCATGCTTCCAATCTTCACGCGTAGACCTTGCCTGTGAACTGCTAGATAATGGACAATATTGATAAGGTCAAGATTAGGCATCTGGCCATTAGACGCCTCTGCATATATAGTAAGGCTATCTCTTTCCTCCTTTTCCTTCTTCTCAATGACCTTGAATACAAGTGCAGCAGCCATAGTTCCAGCACGTTTGAAAATATTGTATCCTGGCCCTTTAACCTTTAATTGATCCAGAAGATGGAGAATATTTTCTTCAAAACATACACCAGTACCTATCTTCCCTGAATTACTAAGGAACAAAGGATTATGGTAGTCTTTCAGCCATGAATCAACTGCTGTATACTCTCCATATCTGGAATCTGCAGCTAACCAAACAATATCCTTTGCAAGCCATGTAACTCTGCTCAGAAGTGAAAAAATTGAGAATGCAAGCCCTAGCGATAAGGCTTCACTCTGTCCAATATTCTGTGAATTGTAAGGAGTTACCAACACAATTGCTTCTTTCCCATCACCACGAGGTGCTCGGATAATACCAACAGAATTGAGACCAAACAATGTGCAGCTAGAATTATATTGCATCTCCATAGTATTAGTGATGGATGAGAAGAAATGAAGAGGGTGGAACTGATTACCATGAGGATGGAATTTGTGATAATACAATTCAGCACCCACATCCACCACATGCTGACCAATCAATTTTGCTATTTCTCTGTAATTTTTGGGAAAGTATAAGAGTAAGAGTACCAAACTAAAGAGAAATTGTAATGAAATTTTGACAATTAAGAGAACTTATTCCAAAATATCAAGTACAAATAATATGCACTTGTATGATGTGCCTCAAAGTTTCTGGCACTATTGTCAATGCACTACTAACATACCCATATTTAAATCTTTAGAAGCCAAATACTTAATGTTGTGTCAGATTACTCCAGTTTCGGGAACCATAAGCAAGATAGTAGCCCTTATTCTGGTGGCATCCTTAAAAATATACTTGTTTATGTTTAAGGTTTCTTGTTAAGAGGAGTGTTTTAAGCACTAAGCACATTGTTTTAGGCTTCAAATTCTTTACCCATCGAGTAATCGTGGTGGATGCTTCCAGAACTCCTACTCCCAACTAAATAATTTTGCCCTTACAGGGTTATCTATACCCGATTCTTTTCAAATGGCTAATTCTTCAGTTAGCAGTTCAACTCAACCTCTGTTTCCACCAGGAGAAATGTTGCATAACTTGTATAAGGTTAAATTTGATAGAACAGATTGCATGCCCCATCTTATACTTCTTAAGAGTTCACCCAGAATTCCTACATATAATGAAAGAAGCTATTAGATTATCTTCAAGTGACACAATAAAACTCTAATGTCTAATGCCAATGCTGTGTCTAACAACTCCTAGAAGGTGCAACAGATAATGAATGAGAACATAATCAAAATCATAGTTTACTTGATCAAATTGTTTACTTTATATTATGAACAAATCTTATTTTACTTGCATTTATGATGTACAAGGTAAATCTCATTAGATGTCACCCCTTAGACAAGACAAAGAACCTTTTGAAGGCTTTGATCTTTCCCTAATCAACCATTGCTTATGTGAATAACACAACCATCACTTGAAAACATCAACTTCTAGAACACAGCCAATCCCCTAGCCAAATGAGATTCTAGATCATAGCCAATTTCTTAGCCAATCAACATTCATCATCTTGTTCGTGAACATGATGGGTACCAACTCTTCAACAATGGAATTTCTAAACTGTATAATCCCAAGACGTCATGTGTGCATCGAAATAACAAAATTTTAAGCTGGACAAAATGTTAACAGAAACATATTTAATGATTACCATCAGATGCCACAATAATTGTATGCAATGACACATTTCTTTATATTGTTGGTTATTGTAAATCTGTGTCTGTGAATGAGCATGTGCATGACAACTGAAAACAAGTAAATCATTATGGTTCCCTATAAAATCAAACATAATGAAACCAGTGCCACATGTTTTAACATCTCATTCATAACAAGGCATTAAACTTCCATACGATTCTACTAAGACAAAAAGAATGTAGAAGTGAACAAGAGTAAGTTAAATAGAAACACCATATATAAAAGTAAGATGGACTTACGTTCCTGTAACTTTTGCACTTCCTCGGTCAAGAATTTCCTTTAAGAATCTGTTGGCTTCAACTACATCGTGAGATGAAAACATTGGATTGGCAGAACCTATCACCAGAGCATTTGATTGGTAAGCACATGTAATCACTGGCTAATCAGTTATAAATTCCTTTGAGAAGGTATTACGGTCAACAGTTAATTAAGATGAAAATATTTAGTCTATCGTAAATGGGCATGCTCCAAGACTTGATTCCATATCTAGATAGATGGCTCTACATTAGCGAGATGCTAAAGCTTGGATAACATTATTTCAAAGGAAGTGAAAACTGAAAAGGATCATTATTGAGTTGCTTTTGCTTTCTTCTTCTGCTTGGCTGAGTTATCAGTTGAATTAGACAGTATTTAGTATTTACAGCACAACAATGGCTTTGGTCATAGGTAAAGCTCAAAATTCAAGCGTATGCCAGAGCCAGCTGTACTATTGACGGTTGTGTGCCTCTCCTTGCCTATTTCCATCTTCCCTATCTAAACTTATAGTTACACATATCACACTTCCACTATTTATATTTTAATTCTCAAATTTGCTCATGTATGGTAGTCTATGCGCATAAAATATGCATAGAAACCAAAGAGGGAGATTGGTAAACTCAGTTCCTGTATTATCTAATTAGCTCAAAGTTTTTGATAAAACCTATGTAAGCTGGCCAATCTCAGTTATATTTGATATACCATGTAAGCTCTTTTTATCAGTCCTTGACTAACTACTTCAATCTCAGGTATATTTGTATCATCTATTGTTAATAAGCTGGTGCCTGATAGCAATGGCATTAATTCTTGTACAAGGATGAAAGTGTACATCCACAATCATTAAAATCCCCTTTATTTGAGTTACAATTTTAACTAGTGAACAGTCCTGCGCCAGACCAAATACATGAGCTTAAACTGGCGAATGTTAGGTTTCCCATCATCATATGCACTTCTTAGGCAGCCCCAACATTGACTTCCCTTTTCCAAGAGTTCTCTAGCCAGAGAATTCCCAACAAATTTAGAGGAATGGTATGAAGGTCAAGTCCAGACTTACACTAGTATAAAATTCTCATTAAAAAGCAACCAACTGGAGACAATTTACCAGGAACATAACCATGAAGGAATTTTTATGCGAGAGAAGGGACTGACCTGGCATCAGCGCGTTCTCGGAGACATAAGTGTTCTTAGCCAGGACGGGGAGGAGGAGGAAAGCGATCGACCCCGCGATGCAACACACGACACTAAATTTCGAGGCGATGATTTGGGTCGTTCAAGAACAAGTAAAGAACTCCATCAGCATCACATCTCAACGATCAAACAGTAAGAATGCGAGAGCGAGAGAGAGAGAGAGAAAGACAAAGAGGGGACCTGACGAGAACGCTGTGAGCGACGAGTAACGCACCAAGGCGGACGATGAGCCTGGATCTGGGCCGCCTCCCCGGTTGAGGTTTCCCGTCCCCCGCCTCGGCGGCCATGATCGACGCCGCCCTCGGAGGGAGGATTCCGTCGAGGCCTCCTCGGGAAGCAAACTGAAAGGAGAGGCGCAGCGGAGGAGCGCCGGAGGCGGCAGAGGATCTCTAGGAGTGAGCGGCGCGAGAGAGAGGGGAGTTCGAGGAGGTGGTAGACTCTCGATGGAGTTTGGGAGACCGAACTCGACCTAAATTGGAAATGGAAATCGCAATTGGGCCCGAGTTAATTGGAATCCAGCTTCTGTAGCTACAAAATTATCCAAGAATTAATTATAAACGAAAAAAAAAAGTCTAATAATTGTTAATTATCTTTTCATTTTCTTGTACTGCGAACCTTTAATAATCAAGCATTTACCTATCTATTCAAAGTAATAGAATAGAATATATAGCGATGCACCGAAATAGTAGACCTATCGGAAATTGATGCGATCACAATGCGCTCGAAGTAGTAGGCCTATCGGAAGTTGATGCGATGACAATGAGCCGCATAAGCACATATGATCTATTGTAAGGTTTGTTGTTATGTAACTCAATAATTCAAAGCGACAAAAGTAAGCAACGCATGTGGTATAAGCAAATAAAGAGTCATGTTGATGTGATCAAACCACGATATTTCCAACCCTAATATGATTAAGTCACCAAAAGGTAAAACTTAATAACGATGCAGTTGAATTGATCATAGAGTATCCCAAAATGATGATACGGTCAAATCAACTATAAGATGTTGGACGATGACAATACGATTGAATAAACCATGAAATATCTATTCTGATACCAATGTGACTAAATTAGTGATGAAGCATCATGCGATAAGGATGTGACCAAATCGACCACGAAGTATCATGTGATAATAATGCAATTGAATTAACTATGAAACATCCTACACACAAAAAAATATGATTAAATTATTCACAGTGTCCAATGATAATAAAACAGTCGAGTTCAATAAAAAAATGACTCTTAGTAGTATGGTGGTTGAAATGTTCTATTATGATAGTATAATCAAATTAATTATGAAGCGTCTCACAACAAAAGATATGATTGGATCATTCATAAAGTACAATACAAATGAATCAAATAAGGAAACAAATTAGACATGAAACATAATCTAATGATCATCCAATATGGTCAAACTCTACTTCACACTTCAAAACATGATGAGGGATATATGATAACAAAGATATAGCATGTAGGCAACCATCCACATGTCACTTTTAAATAGTCATCATGTCATGTGTGATCCAATCTTACAAGGCTAACAGCGTAGTGCCAACAAAGACATTTACTCGACCAAATGATCGAAAAGTTGACTCTGATAAGCGGATACTTCATATTTCTTGAGTTTATCGTACGATTTTTTACTTCATTAATAGTCTAATGATATATATAATTATTCATATTTCTTGAGTTTATCGTACGATTTTTTACTTCATTAATAGTCTAATGATATATCTAATTATTCTTGGTATTTATCACAATCTCAACCTAGCTACTATAAAAAAGCCTCCCAAATGCATTGTTAACCATGAGTACCCTTTGACTATACATATCCATTTTGATATTCAAGAATTCTTCAAGTATCTTATTGATATATTTATGATATAATTTTTATAAGATCTCATATTAAATCCCTTGATCTTTAAGGAAGATCATCCCTGTCTCTAAGTTTGTTAAGTTTTTCATTCTTTTATGTGTTAGGATGAAGAGTGGGGTCGGCACTAAGAGGGGGGTGAATTAGTACAGCGGTAAAATCACGTCTTCAAAAAAACCTTTCGTTTTGATTAAATCCGTTTAAGTTGAAAATCGATCTCGGAAATGCTTAACTTTGAAAGTAATAAGAAGGAGGCTTGCAATTAAAGTAAAGTGCACAAAGAAAATGCAAATCAGATTTTAGAGTGTTTCGGTCATCGTGACCAATATCCATTTCGTCGATTCCTCTTTCGTCGGGACCATCGGCATCTGCTATCGATCTTCCTTCTTACACCCCTCTTCTCCTTTTCACAAGTTTAGGAGTCAACATTTACAAGCACTCACTCCTCTCTTATAGAATTCTAACACTTAGAGTAGAGGAGGATTCTCACAAGAGATTTCTACAGTGTTTTTATACTTTTAAACTCTCTGTGCTTGTGTCTTTTAACCAAGGATGGGAGGAAAACTTGGAGCCTAAAAATATCTCATCCCAGGTTTCCCGGGCACGGGTGATACCACCGCTTGTGTCAGTCTAACACTGTCACTACATTGGGTGGTACCACCTCCCAGTCTGGCGATACCACCACTTGGGATACTATGCTGGGAGGTACCACCGCCTGGCACCCTGCTAGGGGCGATACAACCGCCCAGACTGGTGGTACCACCGCCTGACATAGTCTCAAAGACGGTGCCACGACGATACCACTTCTTGAGACACTGTTTGGGCCTCTCATTGGGCCCAACACAGTCCTTACATGGGCTTAGCTGGCCCCTAATTGAGTTGGCCCAAATCCAAACCTAATTATGTGCTAACTATGATTCCTAAGACATTTGCTAAGTTAAATAAGTCTCTATGTCTTGGTTTCTTCCGGCGAGCTTCTAGCGATCTTCCGACGATCTCTCGACAATGTTCTGGCGGACTCCCGGCAAGTTCCTGGACTTCACGATGATCTTCTTGGCGAGTTCCGACGAGCTTCTTTGGCAAGCTCCGAGATGTCTTGGCTGGTTCTGCCAGAACTTCCGACGAATGTCCGGACTTCCAACGAACTCTCGAACTCCCAACGAAATCACGTCCTTAACTCCGGGACTTCATTTTGCTTTATGCCTTACTATCGTAGTTAATCCTACACATTTAAAACATACTTCGATCTAGACAATTAATACTAAGTATTAATCATGTTGTCCGGTATGTCATTGGTCCCTCGACGCTTTGTCCGATTCTTCGACGCATCGTCCTCTCTTGCGGCCTATTGCCCAATTGACCAATTGACTCCGTAATTCCGATATCCTTCACGTAATATCCGCTCTTCTTAGCCCGATGCCCGAATCCATGGCCCGAAGCCTTCTGTCGATATGTCGATCGATCCTTTGGCTCAACGTCCAATCTTCTGACATGTTTTCCTCCGGCATAACATGATTCTTCCTGCTTTAATTGTCTCATCCTGATCGAAGCATCCTGCGTCACTCAAAACGTAGATTAAAATATAAACACTTATCAATTGGTTTCATCATCAAAATTCGAGATTTAATAATTATAATTTTTAAGAAAAATAATTATTCTAAAAAAAAAGGAAGCAAGAAGTGCTATCTTGCAAATCTCAAGAGAAGTTATGTTTGCTAAGTTACACATTTCGAGAAGAAGCAAAATAGTCCATCTTGCACATCTCAAAAGATGTAAAATTTTGCTAACTTTTTTATGTGTAAAACTTGATAGCTTGTATGATGTAACACTTGCTAATTTTTCTAGTTTACAAAATTGTATGATGATAAAACTTGATATTATATTTTTCGTGCAATGATTTGAACTTATATTCCAAACACATGGAAGATACACTTCTCCTTTTTGTTGACGACAAAGGGGGAGAAGTATGATCATGTTATGCATGATGACTTGTTGCAAATATTCATGATGAAATTTGCAATGACTTGAATTCAAAGTTCTATCAACATGGCATATTGATAGGGATAGTTTGTTTAAACTCCGGGAGTTAAGGTTAATTCCATCATCAATTGGTTGCCATCATAAAAAATGGAGAGATTGTTGAATCTCGTATTTTGATGATGAAACCAATTGATAAGTGTTTATGTTTTAATCTGCGTTTTGAGTGATACATGATGCTTCGATTAGGATGAGATAATTAAAGCAGGAAAAATCATGTTAGGCCAAAGGAAAACATATCAGAAGATTGGACGTCGGGTCGGAGGATCGGTCGACGTATCAACAGAAGGCTTTGGGCCATAGATTCGGGCATCGGGCCAAGAAGAGCGGATATTGCGCCAAGGATATCGGAGTTGCGGAGTCAACTAGCCGATTGGGCAATAGGCCATAAGAGAGGACGATGCGTTGAAGAATCGAACAAAGCGTCGAGGGACCAATGACATGCTGAACAACATGATTAATGCTTAGTATTAATTGTCTAGATCGAAGTGTGTTTTACATGTGCAGGATTAACTACGATAGCAAGGTATAAAGCAAAATGAAGTCCCAAAGTCAAGGATGCGATTTCGTTGGGAGTTCGAGAGTTCATCGGAAGTCCGAACGTTCGTCGGAAGTTCTGGCAGAACTAGCCGAGAAGTCTCGGAGCTTACTAGATCATCGGAACTCGCCAAGAAGATCGTCGTGAAGTCCAGGAGCTTGCTGGGAGTCCGTCGGAACATTGCCGAGAGATCGTCGGAAGTTCGCCGGAAGATCGCCGGAAGATCGTCGAAAGAAACCAAGACATAGGGACTTGTTTAGCTTAGTAAATGTCTTAGGAATCATAGTTAGCACGTAATTGGGTTTGGATTTGAGCCAACCCAATTAGGGGCCAGTTAGGCCCATGTAAGGACTGTGTTGGGCCCAATGAGAGGCCCAAATAATGCCTCAAGAAGTCTCACCATCGTGGCACTGTCTTCGAGACTATGTCAGGCGGTGGTACCACCCAGCACAGCAGCCCAAGCGGTGGTACTGTCCAACGCAGGCGGTGGTACCGCCCGTGCTCGAGAAACCTAGGATGAGATGTTTTTAGGCTCCAAGTTTGAATCAACTTGAAGCCTATAAATACCCCTCTCATCCCTAGTTAAAGAATACAAGCATAGAGTATTCAAAAGTGAGAAAACGCTACTGCAATCTCTCTAGAAATTCCCTCCTCCACTCTAAGTTTAGAATTCTGTAAGAGGAGTGGGAGTGCTTGTAAGGGTTATTTCCTAAACTCGTGAAAAGGATAAGAGAGGTGTAAAAGGTGGTTGGTCTTCGCCTATTGAAGGAAGACTGATAGTGGATTTCGGTGGCCTCAACGAAAGAGGAATCGACGAAGTGGATGTAGGTCACGACGACCGAACCACTCTAAAATCTGGTTTGTATTTCTTTGAGCAATTTACTTTAACTACAAACCTCCTTACTTGCTCTTTACATCCGCTACTCTCTTATGTACGCTTTCAAAGTATTACTTTTACGAAATGGTTTTACGTCGGAAATGGTTTTAATCGAAACGAAATTTTGAAGACGTAATTTTTATCGCTGCACTAATTCACCCCCCCTCTTAGTGC